GATGTTGTTGGTGTTGTTGATGTTGTAGTTAGGGTTGTCACTATTGATGATGTTCCAATTGCAACTGATATTTGCGCTGTGGGTTGTAGCATTAGTATCTACAGTGTTGGCACTGTTGTTGTCGATGCTATTGTTGATGTTGTTGTTGATGTTGTTGTTAAAGTTGTCACTATTGGTATGATTGTTGTTTACATCATCAATATTGTTGGTGATAACATTGTTATAATTATTGCTGTTGTCGTAATTGTTGTTGTTATAATTATAATGATTGTTGTTTTTATTTAGTAGTCTATTTGAAGGTAGAATGTTGTTAGACTGTACTTGAATGTTCATGGAGGGATTTTTGTTTTGTATGAAAATTGATTCAGCTATTTTCAGGTTTGTGATGTTGTTATTGCAATAAACTATTTGCGTGTAATTTAACATTTGTCGTGTTAAAGTGATGTTGATGATAATGTTGTTTAATTGCTCCATCTTGTAGATGCATGGTCAAACGTCTTGACAATGTGGTAGTTGTCATTCCAATATATGAAGCATTGTTGCGGTGCGAACATTCACCGACGGAGCATTTATATTCATATATTAGATGAATTTGTTGTAGTTGAGTAGTTGCAGGAAGGCAATTATTTTTCATGATTAGTTGGGATGTTTTTAAATTTTGATAGTAAATTCGAAGAACAACTTTATTAATTGGATTTGACGCTATTACATTTCTGCGTATTATTCCTTTTAAAAATCTTTCATCTTCTTTATACGCCATTGAAAAGGTATTTTTGTAGTAAAATATTATCTTATTTTTGTCATTCATTTTGTTGTTGATTTGGTTTCTAATGATACGGCTGTTGTTGTTGCTGTTGTTGTTATTATTGTTATTACTGTTTGTGGTGAGGTTTGTGATGCTGTTATTATCAAAGTTATTAGACGTGGTGGAGGGGTTGTCATTATCTTCCTGTTCATTGTTGTTTGGAACGTTGTTGGTAATTGCCTTATTTTGATGTATATTTTGTGTATTTTCATGATATTTTTTGGTTAATCTATTTATAACTTGATCAATTTGTTTCAAAGAGTAATTATTGTTCACGAGAAATTTTTTTATTCTTAAAAATTCTGAGTTGATGAGTGTATAATCAGAGCAATGTTGAAACGCTCTGTTAACTAAAGAAAATATAACACTATTTTTATATTGTTCTGAGGTCTCGCTTTTATCATTAAGACAAAATCCCAAATTGGTGTCTTTTACATAAACTTGCGTTTGAAAACCAATGTCATTTCTGGTTATCAGGACATCCAAAAATGGTAGCTGTTTATTATTTTCAATTTCATGGGTAAAGGAAAGAACTGAGTTGGATTAAAATTCATCAATTAGGTCCATCAAGTTGTTTTCATTTTCTACTATAATGAACGTATCATCAACATATCTTACATACATTTCGGGTTTGAGATGTGGTTTCTTTTGGAAAACAGTTTCTTCTAAATATCCCATGTAGAAGTTTGCAAACATCACTCTTAGAGGGAGCCCATGGCTACACCATCGACCTGCTGATACATATTTCCATCAGGAGTGTAGAAAGGAGCTTCTTTTCTGCAGATTTGAAGTAACTGTTTTAGCAGATGAGGTTTAATTTTTAGTGGATTCATAGCACTATTATATACATAGTTTAAAAGAATATCTATTGTGGCATCAACAGGAACGTTAGTGAAAAGAGATTCCACATCTATTGATGATATGATGCCTGATGATGATCTAGTTTTTAGGATGTGAATAAATTCTGATGATGAAGAAATGCAATGTTCATTTGGAATATATGGAGTTAGGATGTTGTTGAGCCATTTTGCTACATTATATGTGACTGTTGGTATTTGACTAATTATTGGACGAAGTGGGTCGCCAGTTTTGTGAATTTTGACAGTACCATACATATAACCTGGTCTGTAGTCTCCAGTTAATAGCGGTATTTTATGTTCTGTTGAGTTAGCATTGATTTGTCGAATAATTTGGTTAGTTTTCGTTTTAAGCGATAGTGTTGGATTTTTAGTTATCAGTTTAAATTTAGTTTCATCTTTCAATATGTCATTTAATTTAGATAAATAAGTTTTATTGTCTAATATTACGCATAAATTAGATTTATCGGCTTTCAATATTTTTTATAATTTTATAATTTTTAGCAGCAATTTTCAATTCGTTCGTCAACAATTTGCTATTACACGAATTTCGTCTTTTGTTAGATTCACTTAATTGGCTAATTGTTGATATACTTTCACATTTCCTAATTGTTCTTGTTTCCAAATTTCATTTATCAACATCTCAATCTCAATATGTTTATTCATTTGTTTGTTTTTTATGAGGTGACAACTTAAGCCGAGGTTCAAAAATTGTTTTTCATCTATTGTCAACTGATGGCTACTAACATTTATGAAATGATCTTGGTGTTGTGGCAACAAAACTGGTCCGCGATATAAATTGCTAAGTTTTTTCCTAATTCGTTGGAAACAATGGTCTCGATGGCGTTCTTTGATGAAGTTGGTTTCATTTAACGATCTATCATCAATCGAGTCACATAACAATTTTATTGACGCTTCCATATTTTTAAAAAGTTCTTCTTTTCTTGATAACTCATTCAAGAGTAATGTTTTTCTGTTTTTGATTTCTGCAGTGATTTAGTCCGTGATTTAGTCTGGCGTGTTAATGTAAATTTTGGTAACAGACTGTTGTTAACGCAACATTTCAAAAATTCAACACTACTTTCAAAACATTGTTCAACTTTTTTATATTTCTTTTTAATTTATTAATTTCAGAAAAATTAGACATTTTATTGTTTTTTTAAAATTTTTTTTATTAAATAAATTTGCAAATAGCTATTTCGAGTTATAGATAACTCACCTTCAGTGCATTATATATAAGGTATGCAAGATATTTGATAAGAAGGAACAAGTAATTATTAATTTATATAAATTATTTAATTAAAACAGAAAACCAATAAAATAAATTTAATAACTATAAACAATATAAAACGCGATTTTTAAAATTTTAATGTTGTTGATTTGGTTTCTAATGATACGGCTGTTGTTGTTGCTGTTGTTGTTATTGTCGATGTAAACAACAATCATACCAATAGTGACAACTTTAACAACAACATCAACAACACCAACAACAACATCAACAACAACATCAACAATAGCATCGACAACAACAGTGCCAACACTTTAGATACCAATGCTACAACCCACAGAGCAAATATCAGTTGCAATTGGAACATCATCAATAGTGACAACCCTAACAACAACATCAACAACACCAACAACAACATCAACAACAACAACAGCATGAACAATAATAACAACAACAGTGCCAACACTGTAGATACCAACGCCACAACCCACAGCGCAAATATCACTTGCAAATGGAACATCATCACAAGAAGCAAGAAGAGCCACAGCGATGATAATAATAATAATAACGTTAACAATAATAATAATAATAACGTTTTTAAATATTGTAAAAATAATATTAATAATATGTAGTTAATTAAATAAATTAATTCGCGCTTCTCGGCTGAGCGTTAATATTTACCTTAACAACCATAATATAAACAATCTTGCCGTTAAAAAAAATTTAAAAATCGCGTTTTATATTGTTTATATTTATTAAATTTATTTTATTGGTTTTCTGTTTTAATTAATAATATAAATAATAATTTATATAAATAAATAATTACTTGTTCCTTCTTATCAAATATCTTACATACCTTATATATAATGCACTGAAGATGAGTTATCTATAACTCGAAATAGCTATTTGCAAATTTATTTAATAAAAAAAAATTTTTTAAAAACAAAATGTCTAATTTCTCTGAAATTAATAAATTAAAAAGAAATATAAAAAAGTTGAACAATGTTGAAAGTAGTGTTGAATTTTTGAAATGTTGCGTTAACAACTGTCTGATACCAAAATTAAACAACATTATCAACAACAGCATAACATCACTTTAACACGACAAATGTTAAATTACACGCAAATAGTTTATTGCAATAACAACATCACAAACCTGAAAATAGCTGAATCAATTTTCATACAAAACAAAAATCCCTCCATGAACATTCAAGTACAGTCTAACAACATTCTACCTTCAAATAGACTACTAAATAAAAACAACAATCATTATAATTATAACAACAACAATTACGACAACAGCAATAATTATAACAATGTTATCACCAACAATATTGATGATGTAAACAACAATCATACCAATAATGACAACTTTAACAACAACAT